ATTGAGAAAGGAGGCCGTAAAATAGGATTTGACCTTGATTATGATGAGAAGGATAGCAGTTACAATCGAATAAAGAGCCTGGTGATTGAGGAGTTGAAGCAATACTTTAGGCCTGAGTTTTTGAATAGGTTAGATGAAATGATTGTTTTCAGGCAACTAACAAAACTAGAGGTGAAGGAGATAGCTGTCATAATGCTGAAGGAAGTGTTTGAGAGATTGAAAGTCAAAGACATTGACCTTTCGGTGACAGAGAGGTTTAGGGAAAGAGTGGTGGAGGAAGGTTATAATCCAAGTTATGGGGCTAGGCCTCTTAGAAGAGCCATAATGAGACTTTTGGAGGATAGCATGGCTGAGAAGATGCTTGCCAGAGAGATTAAAGAGGGCGACTCTGTTATTGTGGATGCTGATTCTGATGGCGATGTGATTGTGCTCAACGATAGTACTGGAGCCGCAGAGTCACTAACAGAAGCTCTTCCCGTGTAACGTGGTTTCCCTTTGCTAAGTTGTACTTTTTTTCATTTAAAACCATAGTCGTAGTCTGATTTAGTTGCCAATGGACGCAAAGCTTTTAACTCAATGCTGGCTGGTCAGTCTCAAGCATTGCATGACAAGGACAGGTTCTCCCGAGTATCGCCAAATGACCCACATCGTATGATGATCCTAGATCCTCCAAATTAACTGAAGATGAGAGTGAAATTGATGTTTAGGAAATTCTAAATTCTTAATCTTATAGTAGAATTTAAAATTCTTTAGTTTATTAAAGTTCTTCACTGCAATTCTTGAAATTTTAAATTCTTTAAAAACAAATATCCAAATAAAAAATTTTAATATATAGAAATATAAATTCTTATAATAATTGAGTTACTCATTTACAATATTTCATCGAAATACAATCTAAATATCTTAAAATTTTAGTAAAGTTTTCTCTTTAATTTTAACAATCCAAAATTAATAAACCCATTAAAATTTTTTAACTATTAATCATCAATCAAAAGAGGCAATATGTTAGCACCAAACGTTAAAATTAATTAATTTAACTATTAAATTATCTTGTATTATTATAATAATATATATTAAATTTGACATAATTTGAACATTTATAGATATATTATTTAAAAAATGATATTTATGTTATAAAAAATGATATTTACATATTTTTCAAAAATATAATACTTAAAAAAATTAATGTGACAAATTACTTCTTAATTTTAGTTTTATATAAAAATTTATAAATTTAATCTATTTGATAAGAGCATTTTTAAACTTACAGGAGATTGATCAAAAACATTTAAATTTGATGTGTTGTATTAACAAATTTCAATATCCTATAGTTATAAAAACTAAAATAATAAATCTAATAAGGGGCCTAAACTCTCGATAGCCTACAACTTAGTCATTTAATAATCTAAAAAGTAAATTATTTAGCCACACAAATTTAATTGAAGACATAATAACTACATAAATACAAATGAGAAATAAAATAATATACGTACTTCACACCTATTCAGTTATTAACATGTCAAATCAATGAAAATAATTTTATCTAATTCAATTTCAAAGAATAGGAGCATAATTCAATGGTTAAAATAATTTCAAGGCTATAATTGAAAAAGCACTAATTTTTAAGTTTACAATTAAAATACAACATGTGTAGATAAAGAAAATATATAATGTAAAAATGTGCACAACATTAAAAAATTATATGATTTTAATATTATAAGAGATAAGAATGATAAAAAAAAAAACTCACATTTTATATTACAGTTCAATCTTAATCTAATTCTTAAAATGAACCAGACCAAATCAAACCACATTTCTAATAAATTTATATAAATTGTATTTTCAATTAAAAATTATTTTTATTCAATTTTATCATCACATTATATAAATATATAGTGCATTACTTTTATTTATTTTAGATTCTCTCTTTTCTCGACTGAATATTATTTCTTTATTTTTTCTATATCAATACTTTGTTATTTTTTATAATTTTTATCTTTTTAATCATCAATTTTTCTTTATTTTTTATTTTTTCAACTAATTCATTTCAATTTTTGAACTAATGTTTACTCTAAATTTCTCAAAAAATAATAAATAATTTTAATAAATAAAAATAAAAAATTGATCAAAACTAATATTTATAATTCAGTTCAGTTCGATTTTTTAAAATCATATGCAAACTTATTTTTATGTGTGATTTAAAGGAGTCGTTGAGTAAAATTCGAATAAAATAAACCGCAAACACTCTTAATTTTTATACGTGTGTGGGTGTGTATAGAATGAAATATGAAATAAATATATATTAGAAAAATGAAAAATGAGTATTATAACTCATTTTTCAAAGAGAAACTCTATTTGCTCATTTTTGTAGAAATTTTCATGGCACGTTGAGAATGCACAGAAAAATTGGGTAATTGTGATGCTTGATCTGAAATGATGAAGCGTCAAGTTGTTACCTAGAATATTAGCACGTTCTAGATAAGTTTTTCAAAAATCTTTGTTATTAAATTGGGTAAATTTTTATGCATAATCATTTATAATTAGATAATGATTTAATATTAAATAATTTTTATGTAATAATAATTTAGATAAAATTAATTAAATTTTTTAATTATACTTATCCATTTTAATGCATAAATAATTGAAATGATAAAAAAGTAACTTTACATATGATATAAAGCTTTATAAAATATAAGAAAAAAAAATCCTGAAAAAATCAAAACATATATACACCAAATATATAATTATGTAATTATACCTCTCTTAAGATTGAAAAAATATCTTCAAATTTAACTCAAGGTATTAAATGGATTCTCACTTATTTAATGAAAATTATGTCTTTTTTATTTACTCAAATTTGTTTCACGAAAACTTGTGCTTTTCTTTTTTGTTTCTTCTTACTATAACTCTAATTAAATCTTTACAGTTATACAAAATACAAATTTAAAAAGTATATTAAGAACATGACTAAAGTTTTAAAGCGTAACAAATATAAATAATTAAAATAAACAATTTCTTTTTTTTTTATTGAATTGGTTTGACATTTCAAAATAAAAATAAAAAACAGTTTCTTTCCTGTACTAATATGTATATCCTTGCTCTTACCTTATTTGAGTTCTCATTCATATTACATTACATTCTTAAGAAGAAAACTAAAATCCTAGTAATAACACATAACTTATCATTTACATCTTTCATGATGCATCAATACAAAACTTTCAAAATCAATAAGATAAAGCAAAAGCAAAAACAATTTGTTCTCTAAATATTCTATATTTTTTTTCACCCACTTCATCGTCTAAGTTATATTAGAGGCTGAATTCTATTCCTCAAACCCATTCAAATTATAAAAATTACATATTATGAAAATAAAAATAAAAATAATTAAGATAATATAATTACCTATGATTTTGTAGTTAATTATTTCTATATATGCGTCTTTATAAATTATTGATAGTAAATAATAAGTTATCAAGCAAAGATAATAAAGTAAAGAGTATATTTATCAATAGTTCCAAAACTTCTTTGAATTCATTTTTATATGTAGATTTGGACACAGATTTTCTCCTGTTTTGACGCAAACTGAATAGTTCAGTCAAATTTTTTTTTGTATTTTTGCTTAAGTGAAAATTTTTGGCTTAAGCAAAAATACAAAATCAACTTATTGGACATCTAGTTCACGGAAGAAAATTTAGATCATGTAAATTTACTAAATATATCTTTTTTATTTTTCTCAATCTATTATCACACCTTTAAAATAGACTTTATAGCAAAGATTTAGAACTAAATGCAACAATAAACTTGAAAAAAAATCTTTCAAAAAACTTCTTTCTACAATACATAATGGAAAATTAATAACTCTAAAATTATATTTTCCTTTAATTTCAATTTTCAATAAAATAAAGGATTTTGAATGGGAACAATTAGCTGAACATAAAATAGTTAGAATCAGAAATAAACATGAAAGAAAATGGAATTAATAAAGATAATATTTATAAATAAAACTAAGCAACAATAATTTTGAGACTTGGAGTCCTCGTACTTTTACTAAAACTTTAAATTCTAAACTCTAAGCCCTATACTAAATTTTAAATCTTAAGTCTTAATTTTTAGACCCTAATCTCTAATCTTAAGCTCTTAAATTTAAACTTTAAAATCTAAATATTAAATCCTAGTATATAATTGTAAGTAATAAATTCTAATTAATACCTTATAAATTATGTCACTCTTAATCTCTAAATTTTATCCTTAAATACCTAAACCTTAAACACTAATTCCAAAATTTGAACCATCAAACTTTAAATCCATAATCATAAATCTCAAAAGTAAAATCACCTTAATCTGGAATTCAAAATCTCAAACCTCAAACCTTGAGCGTTGTCCTTAAACCTAACCCTAGATCTGAAATCTAAACCTAAATCATTAACTCTAACTCTTACATTAAAATGCTTATACTAACCTCGAACTCCTAAACTCTTAATCATAAATTCTAAATAGGTTATAAAGGTATCTCTAAAATCTCATATGAGTGACTGAAAGTGAAGAAATGGAAGCATACAAATAAAATTAGGAGAGGAAGAACACAAACAAACAAAGATAAAAGAGAATAAAATTAGGTAAAAAGGAAAAGAAAAGATAAAAGAGTGGTTGTATATTTTTTAAAATTTACTAATGTTTTTTTTTTCTGTGCACTTTGAGTATCATAAATTTAAAATTTGAAAATAAATAATTAAAAAGTATTATATGACTATTTTTAAACTTAATTAATTTTTAAAAAAATATAATTATTAATATTAAAAATTCTATCTTACTATTATTTTAAAAAATGTGAAAATTTTAAAATTTATTATATTAATATTAAATTAAAAATAAAATATTATGCTAAGAAAAACACTTAGTACGACAAAAGAAAAAAATATCCCTGTAAATACTTTTATTTGAAAACATTCCTAAAAATATTCTCGTTTAAAAATCTTCTATATATATATAGAAAGAGAGAATGGGAATGGATATTGGCGAAGCTTCACTTGGTTTAGATGGCCATTGACGAGCTTCCCAGTGATTCAGAAACTCAAACTCCGCTGCTATTGGAGACAGTGGACGGCGCCGTTAACTTTCACGGCGGCCCTGTCCTACGATCTACCTCTGGTGCTTGGAAAGCTGCTGCTTTCATTATCAGTAATAATCTTCTCTGATCTCGAATGTTTGGTTTAGTTGACATTCTTATTTTACTTAGGATTTAATTTATGTATGGTCCAATCTTCTTCTCTAGCTGTGGAAGTGGCTGAGAGATTTGCTTACTATGGAATTAACTCCAACCTAATAAACTATTTGACGGGGCCTCTTGCTCAATCAACGGTAACGGCAGCGGAGAACGTTAACCTCTGGTCTGGAACAGCGTCATTGCTCCCTCTACTGGGTGCTTTTCTTGCTGATTCTTTTCTTGGCCGTTACCGCACTATCGTTTCTGCCTCCCTTATTTATATTCTGGTATTCTCAACAGAATAAAACTAACTAACTTGTTTTTGTTACTTCCTCAGCTGAAGTAGCTAACGTAAGATTGGGATGAATTGCAGGCGTTGAGCCTGTTGACTTTGTCGGCTATTCTTCCCTCAGAGGGCCAAGCTGGTAGTTCTGAGCCCCAACTCATATTGTTCTTCTTTTCTCTTTATCTTGTTGCTTTTGCACAAGGTGGACATAAGCCTTGTGTTCAGGCTTTTGGAGCTGATCAGTTTGATGTGAATCACCCAGAAGAACGCAGGGCGAGAAGCTCTTTTTTTAATTGGTGGTATTTTACCTTCACTGCTGGTCTCTTGATCAGTGTTTCCATCTTAAACTATGTTCAGGATAATGTTGGTTGGGCTCTCGGATTTGGAGTCCCTTGCATTGCCATGGTAATTGCATTGGCTGTTTTCTTACTCGGAACTTGGACTTACCGCTTTAGCATCCCAGTTAAGGAACGAGGACCCTTTTCTAGGATTGGTAGGGTCTTTTTGGTTGCACTCAACAATTGGCGAATCACTCCTTCGCCAATCGCCTCTCAAGAGGAAGCTCCTCCCACTCTGCCTCGCCAAGAAGACTCTCAACAGTTTAGGTAATTGTCAAATTCTCTGAAACTTTCTAACGCACTCTCAAGTGCCCTATTTATTTACAAATTCTCAACTTCTCTCTTTATTGATATGTGATGCATCTAGCCCATTAAAAATGAGTTTATCTTTGCCATATGTAAATTAAATTTATTCTCTGACGTGCCCCTGCAGTTTATTGGATCCAAATCCCAATTGTGTATCGCTTTCTGTTTACAGATGAATCATTTATCTCAATGTCACTAAGTATAAATTGCTAGGGGATTATTTTGTTTTCATTATTTTTTGGGACCATACTACAATTTTCTTATGGAGAAAAGTTTCTACCATACAACACGAGATTGTCAGATTGTGTATTATTATGAATTTTTTTTTCTGAAGTAATGTTGGGTTTGCACATGACTCTCAAATTTGGCAGTTTCCTAAACAAAGCATTAATTGCATCAGACGGTTCAAAGGAAGAGGGAAAAGTTTGTAGTGTTGCTGAGGTTGAAGAAGCAAAGGCAGTCCTCAGGCTTGTTCCAATATGGGCTACGAGTTTAATTTTCGCTATTGTGTTTGCTCAAACTTCTACCTTTTTTACCAAACAAGGTGTTACAATGGACAGGAAAATTTTTCCGGGATTTTATGTACCTCCTGCGTCTCTTCAATCCTTCATCAGCCTCTCCATTGTGCTTTTTCTTCCCATTTATGACCGCATTATTGTCCCCATAGCAAGATCTTTTACTGGTAAACCCTCTGGCATATCAATGCTACAGAGAATTGGAACTGGAATGTTTCTTTCCGCAATTTCTATGGTAATTGCAGCTTTTGTGGAGATGAAAAGACTCAAAATGGCTCGTGACCATGGGCTGATTGATATGCCAAATGTGACAGTTCCAATGAGCATTTGGTGGTTAATTCCTCAATATGGCGTGTTTGGAATCGCTGATGCCTTTACAATGGTAGGTCTGCAAGAGTTTTTCTATGATCAAGTCCCAGATGAATTAAGAAGCGTAGGTCTTTCCTTCTATCTAAGTATTTTTGGGGTTGGGAGCTTTCTAAGTAGCTTTCTCATATCTGCTATTCAAAATGTAACATCCAAACATGGCCGTGATAGCTGGTTTGCTAGTAATCTTAATCGGGCGCATCTTGATTATTTCTATGCACTTCTAGCTGCTCTCAGTGCGGTGGAGTTATGTGCCTTCTGGTTCTTCTCAAAATCTTATGTTTACAAGAGAACAACCACATAGAAGAAGCTGGAAATCTGCAACCACCTTTACTTCCACTTTGTTTAATAGCCAATAAGAATGTAATCGGCTGACTATTTTGCACGAGAATAAATCTAATCCTTTTGTTGGACCATTCTATATGCGGAATTTACTGATCAGATATTGCACCAACTATTTATAGGAGATGCAATGCAAAGCTAACAGCCAACTCTTAACTGATAAAATGAACCAATTGCTTTATGTTTTGGCAACGAGGCAAGTTAATTGACCCACATTTTATTGAAAAAATTTAACAATTGTCGCAACTGGAGCAGCCGTTACGGGAGAAAATGAAAATGGTGAATTGAATATGGAAAAGAGAAAAATTAGAGACCACAGGAGTTGTCACCAAAATGTTTTAAAGAATCTTGAAAAATTTTGAAGACTAATATAACTAAATCTGAGTTTAGGAATTTAATTACACGTCCTAAAGGTATTAACACTTTTGTAAAATTTAGTTACCATAAATTTGATATTTTATTTATTTTTTAAAAAATAAGGGAGAAAAATAAGATAAAAATAATTGGAGCTAATAGATTTTGATCTTCACTATTACGTACTCTCAATGGAATGAAAAGATCAAGACTATGTAGTTCTCAAGATAAAACTTTAAGGTAAAGACTTTATTGAAAGGTTGATTGGGTTAAATGATGTCAAAATATTTAAAGGAATGTATATATAATATTTGGAGAATAAGATGAAATTTTTTTTCTTGAGTTATATGATCTGTACGAAGGATAGAGAATTTATACATCACTATTATTCAATCATAAAGTAAAAAAATTGAAGAAATCCTTTTGAAGGATGAGAAAGAAGATTGAAAATAAAAATCCTTTTTTTAGAAATAAATATTAAAAATGAAAGACATGTTTGTTATTTTATTTATAAAACAATAATTTATGTTTAATGACTTTGTGATTTATAAATGATAGAGTAATTTATACATTATTATGAATAATCATTACAGAAATTAGAAAATTTACTTGTGATTTTCTTTGATAAGAGAAGGTAAGTGGATTTTTTATATTTGAAATAAAGCGTATGTAAATTCACATGAATGTGGTACTACATATTGTAGATAGGCATACTTATAAAGAACCGTTTAAGATCAGACCAAGCTATTTCTAAACGAGGTTTGATTCACTTCAGAACCTTTTATTTCGCGCTCCTTTGTTGCCACTAATCTCTCTAACCATTCTTGAGTTTCAGATCTAGCAATTCCAAGAGAGTAACACCATTGAAAGATTATCTTTTGATGCATGAAGATGAAGTGCATCATCCATTGGTCAATAGGAAGAATGCTCCTATTCCTCTTACTAAAAATAGGAAGGTACGACGAGTCCATACTCCAAGCGCAATTGAGAAATATTCAGAAATGAAGCTCCCTAAGATAAAAATCAAGCAATTTCAAGGACCCCTTCGATTTCAAGCACGGTTCAAAATGACCCGAGTATGTTGAATTCTATGGATCTATTGGGATTCCTCCATACACTAAATCTAAAAGTCAGAAAGAAAGGTCAAGACATAGACAATGAGAAAAAAGTGGAGATTCTGGAGAAGTTATTTTTGGGGCAATTGGAGTTGTCCAACCAGTTTCAAACTGCAAATTCTGAACCAGTTCTTAAAACACTGAACCAATTAAAAACTTTTCAAATAGTTTAGTTCAAAAATATGAATTACATTTTCGATTCATTTTTGTTCATGTTCGGTTCTTGATGTGAATTGAATTATGCCCACCCCCAATTTTAATTTTAGCTAAACTGCCACCTTAAAATTTTAGGACATGCAAATGATAAGTAGTCTATACATCACTTCCATAAATCCTTGCATGAATCAAAATGAAATAACTAAGAAAAGTAAAAAGATAAGGGAATTTGAATATATTTGTTTGAAATTTTACTTTAAACCAAGCTCATTTATTTATTTTATTATAAAAGTGTGAGAAATGAAAATTTAATTTTACAATTCTACAAATGTGAATGATAAAGAAATTTATATATTATGGTAATTGATTGTTACATGGATTTAAGAATATTTATTTGTATTTTAAAATTAAAAAAAATTAATTTTTAAAAAAAATTGAAGTGTAATTCATATCACATGAAATACTAGATAATATAGTTAAATTGGTATCCTTACAATTTTATAACATACAAATGATAGAATAATCTATACATTACTGTTATAAATTATTAAGCACAAGTTTTTTTTAATCTAAATTTATGTTATAGTATAAGAAGTTATATGTTTATATGCATTAATTTTTTTTTTCAAGCACAATTGACAAAGTATTTTAGATTTTGTTTCAAAATTAATATTTATTGTAATTATTAATTAAAGAAAGACACTAATATGTCATGCATAAAATAGTCTTTCTATACAAGCTTTCATGAAAAACAAATTGTCACCTAAAATGATTACAATATCAAATAAAAAGAGTGAATTTTAATTTAAATTCCTAAGTTTATTTGTCTCATTTTGTTTGAGAGCAAATATATATCAAAAAGTAATAAAGATTTTAAAATAAGATCATGAAATATTGTCTCACAAGGATTATTTTTAATTACTAAATTTTTTTAATTTAATTGTTTGAATTCAAGAATATAAAATTAAAAAAAAGGATTAAAAATGAAAGCAATTAAAATAAAATTAAAAATAACGCAACCTCTGATAATAAATTGATTAAGAAGAACTTAGAAATGTATCATTTTACTTTTACACTTTTCTATGTTCACTTTTAAATTAATTCTAGTTCCAATTTTCTTATGATTGCAATCCACTCATATTAAATTTATTAACACCCAATGGTCATGTAAGGTAAAAAGAAGAAAAAGGATAAAGAGCACATGAATTGTTAATTTAATAATGATTAAAAGAGAAGAACTAAGTTTGATCTAATCTTTTGTCTTGTTTTACCTATAGATTCATTAATTATATGTGGCACGGTCACTTACACTATAGTTCATTATGGTATGTTTAAGAGTTGTCAATTTTGATATACAAATATAGCGCAACAGGATAAACACCATTAATCAAGAACAGAAACACAAAATTATCATAAATCATAAAAATTCCACAAAGTTATGCAAAGAATCAACCATAACCCTAACTATAGATTTAGCTAAACATAATATAAAAGAGAACTAAAATAATACTAAACAAATCCATAATTATTCGAAAAGTAAATGCAAACTAGAGGAGTCTCCAATGAAAAAGAGATAAAGAGAGTTTTTGATCCTAAGACATGCTTCCAAAGCTCTAATAGTTATCAACAACTGGCCAATACCAAGATTGAAGATATAAAAGGTGAGAGGTGTAAAAAGATGTGAAAATAGATATGAAAGGGATGAAATAGATATATAAGTTGTACCCCATGAAGTTCCTCTAATAGGGTTTTAAAACCCTAATATTTCTTCATAGTTGTACTTCTTACAATTAAGCATGGTTATGCAATATCATAAGCACGGTCGTACAAGTGGCTCGAAGCACCCATGTGCTGGCTACTGTGAAACTCTATTTTTTTTATCTAATTTGGGCCTAAAATGCATCTAAAAATCTAATTATGTCCTTTAATGTCAAATTGCATAGTTAATATATAAATTAGTACAAAACCTAAATAAAATAATGATCATACATAAATATATCAGCTATAAAAAAATGCTAAAATACAAACTTATCACATTTGCTAATTATTATTATTAATATGACTATTATTGAAATATACCTCCAAGAATCCATATAATTGAATCAAGCTCACATGATCGCTTTTTGTTTAAAATTCATTTTTGGTCTATAAAGATAACAACATAATAATGAGAAATTTGGTCCCATTTCATACTCAAATGACTAGCCTATGTGAAAAATAAACCATTTATCGTTAAACCTAGTGGTATGTTATTAAAAGGAACATGTTTCTTGTTTAGATGCTAATAATAATAATAAGACTTAATTATATTTTTTGCTCCTATAAAAGTAGTACCCTTTAATTAGTTCTTAAAAAAATTGTTATAATTTAGTTCTTGACTTTTTGAAAATATTTGAAATTAGTCTTTACTGTGAAGTGTCCTCTTTTACGTGATGAACTTGATAATGAAAATTTGGTTCATCACTGTCATGTTATCACTATTTTAATATTTTATTATCTAAAAGTTAATATTTGTAAAAAAGTCCTTAAAAAATATTTATATTATTTTAAAATAATTAATTAATCCAAAACATCTTGTTCAACCTTGTTCACTCTTTATTCTTCTTCATTGTTGGTGTGACAACGCAATAGTAGTAGACAATGATGGCAAGGAAACCTAAACGTGGTCATTATGGTGGACAACAAGAGCTTCCCTGTTCTATTTAACATGACTAAAGTTGAAAAGAAAGACACATTTACTAAAACCTTCATGCCTTCCACTAAACTAATAGGTGGCTATAGGGTTCTCATCTACCTTGACCTTCTAAACCCATTAAGGCATTGGAAGGTTGCAAGTGGGAAGAAGTTGACCATAGTCCTTTCATGTTTAGGTAATGGATTATTTCTGATATAAGGAATAGTCTTCTTAAACTTTGGCCATACTGCATCAATCAACTTTTGAACTTTAAAATTTAGTACTTGACAATTTTTAATTAAATGCCCCACAGCTCCAACATGATAATTGTATTTAATCTTTAAGTCATATCCTTTGGCTTTCATTTTTGATAAATTGTGACAATAATTCTATTTAGGTTATTGGAATTGAGTAAAATGTACTATAGGCATTGTTTGATTATTTTATTCTTATGGTTGATGTTTGAGTTTTGGCCAGTTAGATTAAGTAGAGATTGAGTAATGATATGTAATTGTAATTTCATTGAAGGAGGATACTTTAAATGCAATTGAAATTGTCAAGGAAATGAATTTTGCAAGGTTACAACAATATATGGATTTGTTGGGAAATGATTATGAAGTGGTTGGTAGAAATGGGTTGACAAGGGGGTAAAGAGCTATGACACTGATATTTGACATATTAGCAGTCATATTATGAGATTCATCTTCTTTTCTTTTTTTAGTTTTTGGTGGATGTTTCTCTACATTATTCATTATTGTGGCGAGATCGTAACT